TTTGAAGAAAAATTGGTGTAAAAAAAATCGCAAAACGTCAAAAAAAAAAAAAAAAAGATGAAGAACAAGCAAACTTAGTGTAATTGAACAATCACAAATAATTATTACACTTGAAAGAATTATTGAGTTTCCGATTCTGACTGTGACCAGTTTATCAAAACACCATAAGCAAAATGAAAATTGCTTAGAAAATAATAATAGAGCTGTAGCTAGATATAAAAAAAATTTTCTTGAACAATTCGCCATTACAAATGCTTTTGTTAATCGAAGTCGTCATAATGTAGCCGCTTCTTAATGAAATATGATGCTGAAATCGATTTGGATGTTGCATTAAATGACGAAATTGAACCTCTATGCAATGAGAAAGTGTTGTATGGAGCAATTAAAGACGATTTTTCACTTTCTGGAAACACTTGCTTGGCATGAGATGGAACTCATTATAATATTGAAAATTTTTCACTTTTCAGTAAACCATGGTAATGAGGAATAATGGGTTGGAACCGCTTAACTGCTAAATAATTAAGCCTATTGGTTAAAGTAGAGTGAAAAACGAATCATAAAGGTTGTTTTGATATTTTGAAGTGTATTGTTGTCATTGTTGCCATTCATTCAAGAACTTAGTCCCATTGAATGTGGGGATGAGATAAAACCGTACGATTGTCCAAAAATAGAGAGACTTTCTTGAAACAAGAATACCTCACAAAACCTATTTGAATTTAATTGATAATATACCAAAAAAGGTGGAAGTATGCATTGCTAACGATGAGTGGCCAACTAGATATTAAAATTAATAATAAAAATTTATATTAAAATTGCTTTGTAATAAAATTTAACAATCATAATTCGTGATACATGAGAGAAGTAGATAAAAATCTATGTCGATCCGGGGCAAAAATGTGTAAAAAATCGACGAATTGAAGTATTTCTCTTCTAAGATAACATGACCACAAACAAAAAAATAACGTGATTTTTAGATCCATTAATACCATAAAATTATCTTTTATTAAAAAAAAATTTTTCATTTAATAAAAAAACAAACTTTACTTTCGGGCATCACTGGAT